ACGTCCATGATTCACGCCCGTGCGCCCCATTTTCTGTGGCCCTACGCGGTTCGCTACGCCGCACACCAGCTGAACCTCCAGCCGCGTGTCTCGCGGCCCGAGGCTTCACCGACCAGTCTTTGGACTGGTTCCCCTGGTGTTGGGTCGGCCTTTCGAGTCTGGGGCTGCCTTGCGCAAGTCCGCGACACCTCTACGGACAAGCTCTCGGCACGCGCCATCGACTGTGTCTTCCTTGGGTTCCCGGTCGGCTCTGCTGACTGGACCTTTTACCACCCTCCCCTCCACCAGTTCCTAGACTCCCGTGACGTCCGGTTTGACGAGTCCGTGTCCTACTACACCCGGTACCCCTGTCGAGGTCTCCCGGTACCCCCTCCCCCTCTTTTCCTCGCACCCTCTCCTCCTCCTGCTCCCGCCCCTCCGGTACCCCCGCCCCCCCCTGGTCCTGCCCCGTCTGGTGTGTCCCACGTTACCCCTCTACCCTGGGTCGTGCGTCAGGTAGCGTCTCCCTCCCCACAGTCCTCCTCACAGTCCCCTCAGCAGCCTTCGGCACTTCCGCGACAGGTTACTGTGGACTCGGTTGGTGTTGGAGCTGGAGGTGCAGCCGCTGGCGGTGCTCGGTCTGGGGGTACTCGGTCGCGGGGTGCTGGAGCTGGAGGTGCTGGCGCAGGTGGCGCTAGCTCTGGGGGTGCTGGAGCTGGAGGTGCTGGTTATGGGGGTGCTGAGTCTGAGGAGTCTGACCCTGGGTCTGCGGAGTCCACTCCGCCTCCCCACCGCCACGACACACGTCTCCAGGCTGCCCGGCGGCGTGAGCGTGAGGAGCAGGAGCGGTTGGAGAGGGAGCGGCAGGAGCTGCGGGTACTGGACCTCCTGGAGCAGCAGCGGCAGCACCAGCAGCAGCAGCAGCAGCAGCAGCCGCCGCAGCAGCTGCAGCAGCAGCCGCCGCCGCAGCCGCCGCCACAGCTCCCTCTGGAGCGGCAGTTGTTCCCCCCTGTGAGTGGCCTGCGGGCCCTTGGCCTTTCCTCCTCTCCTCCTGTGTTTGGTCCTACGTTTCCTCCTCCGGACGCCAGTCCAGCAGTCAGGTCGTTCTCTCCGCCACAGTCTCCTCCTCTTGTAGTCCTAGACAGTCGTGACTTGGTCACCCGTTGTCCCCCGCGTGCTCGTCACTCGTCCCCTGTTACTGACCTCCACACTGCCCTCCTTTGTTCGTCTCGTCGCTGTTCTCCGTCTCCTGTGTCCGTTCTCCCGTCTCCTCCTCTGTCCTCTCTCCCCACCCTCCCCACTCCGATCACTGACTACTACCGCACTGTTCGTCCTGTTGCCTCCCGTGTCCTAGCCACTCTTGTCACCGACTCTCGTTTCCCCCCGTCGTCTGCCTCCGCTCTCACTGCCGCTGTCGCTGAGTTTGCTGCCGCTAGCCGCCTTGACTACGCTACCCGTGTGGTCCCTGCTCCTCCCTACCGTCCTCTGTCCGTCGGGGGTGAGTTTGCCCTTGGCTGTGATGTCCTAGAGGACAGAGAGTCTGAGCTGGAGTACTGGGCAGCCGCTTCTCCTTCTGTCTGTGCCATGCTGCTCTCCCCTGAGGGAGACCCCGACGCCCTGGACATACCGACTCCTCGCACTTACCGCGAGGCTGTGTCAGGGAAGTGGGCCTCTCAGTGGAAAGCGGCTATGGACTCAGAGTTGGCGTCTTGGAGATCCACAGGCACTTACGTCGACGCAGTTCCCCCTCCTAGGGCGAACGTAGTCGATGGCATGTGGCTCTTCAAGGTGAAGCGGCCGCCTGGAGCACCTCCGGTGTTCAAGGCGCGCTACGTGGCTAGGGGCTTCAGTCAGCGTGAGGGAGTTGACTTCTTCCAGACCTTTGCTCCGACCCCGAAGATGACTACTCTTCGGGTGTTACTTCACATAGCAGCGCAGCGAGACTACGAGCTGCACTCCCTCGACTTCTCCACTGCGTTCCTCCAGGGCCGACTGCACGAGGAGATCTGGGTGCGTCGTCCGCCTGGCTTCACTGACACCTTCCCTCCTGGGACTCAGTGGAGCCTGCGCCGACCAGTCTACGGTCTCCGACAGTCGCCCCGAGAGTGGCACGACACTCTTCGCTCCACGCTTCGTGACCTTGGTTTCAGACCATCGACTGCCGACCCTTCACTGTTTGTTCGGGAGGGTTCTACTCCTTTCTTTATACTTGTCTACGTCGACGACTTGGTCTTTGCTACCGCAGACAGGGCAGCGCTGGCTCAGGTGAAGTCGGAACTGCAGAAGAGACACAAGTGCACTGACCTGGGTGAACTGCAGCGCTACTTTGGCCTGCAGATCACCAGGGACAGAGCCGCTCGCACCATCACACTGACGCAGTCACACATGGTGCAGCAGGTCCTTCGGCGGTTCGACTTCCAGTTCTCCACCGCACAGCCCACTCCTCTTGCTATTGACCACAGACTCACGGGCCCCTTTCCTGACGAGCCCTTCGAGTCCAGTGGTCCTTACGCAGAGCTGGTGGGCTGCCTCATGTACCTGATGACCTGTACTCGGCCGGACCTCGCCTTTCCCCTCAGCATCCTTTCGCGCTTTGTTGCGACTGGGAGACACCGTCCTGTCCACTGGACATCAGCTGTGAGGGTGGCGAAGTACCTGGCGACTACAGCAGGAGTGGGGCTTGTGCTTGGAGGGACTCAGCCAGTGGCGTTGACTGGTCACTGCGACTCTTCCTACGCTGACGACGTGGAGACTCAGCGCTCGACTCAGGGTTACTGCTTCAGTCTGGGAGCTGGTGCTGTGTCGTGGAGGTCTACACGGTCGTCGTCTGTGGCTACTTCCAGCGCAGAGGCTGAGATCTACGCTGGTGCCATGGCGGCACAGGAGCTTCGCTGGTTGACCTTCTTGCTCGCCGACCTTGGTGAGCGGCCTCGCTCTGCACCGACCTTGTACGCTGACAACAAGGCCATGATCCTCCTGTGTCGAGAGCCTCGACTGGAGAGCAGAGTGAAGCACATTGACGTGAGGTACTTCCTCCTGCGAGAGCTGCAGCGACGCGGCCAGGCCCGCTTGGACTTTGTGGCCTCAAAGGCCAACACTGCAGACGTCTTCACCAATGCCTTAGCGCTTGGTGACCACCACAGGTTCTGTGTGCAGTTGGGGCTTGTTGAGGTTGGCCCTAAGTTGCTGTAGTCTTGTTTCTTGCTCTGCTTGTTGTGTTTCCTATATATAATCTAGTGAACCCTTGAACTGGCCTTGTGGCCACTTGCATGTGCTCGGAATTTGTGTGGTGTCCTTGAGATCCACCCTGAGCTTGCCTTGTTTCTTGCATTGACTGGTCTTGTGACCGTGTGCTCGCCTTGCTTGCTTTGATGCCCCTCACTTAGCCTATGGGGGTGTGTCAAATGCTATATTTGTGATAGGCTGTAGTGAGTTGCTCCTTAGGGAGTACAACACTTTGTTAGGTATCCTACTTGTATGCTTTCACAACCCTAATCCAATCATTCCGCTAAGCTACTTTGAGAAAAGTTGAATTTCCCGTTCAAAATTTGTCGCTGTGAGAGCTCCTTCCAGCGATGCAGAACACGTCGGCACGCGATCTGTACAGCGCATGCATGCATCGTTAAGTGTGTGAGTGAGGTCTCGCGAATCCCGGGCCAGGTACAACCTAGTGGGGCCTCGTGAATCTCGGGCCAGGTACAGATTGTACACACGTACCACCCCGAATCGGTCTAGTTCGTTTCAGTGTGACTCACGACACTACACTGATTCGTCAGTGTTACTTGTACAGCAACACGGAAAATGGTCAGTGTGGCGAGGTAAGGTATGTTATACTGAAATTTCAGTGCACATTTGAAGCAATATGCTGAATTTTCAGGGAAAACGAAAATCTGAGCTACAAAATCAGCACAATCAGCATGTTTTACGCTGATATCTGAGGGCCTGGTCGCTGCACACTCCTACATTACAGACTGCTTCGCTTTCAAAATACGAAAATTTGAAAAGCATTTACACTTTTAAAAATATTCATATTTGGTTCCTCTGGTGCGCCCAACCACATATCGCCTGCATAAATGAACTGTCCAACAAAATTGCACTATCCATTACTTGGCTACATACGAACATATCTATCTGATGTTCTACCTGCCAACCACTCTTGTATATAAGACCCTACTGACATGCCCCGTATCCACGGATTCATCCAAGTGTTTAAAAACAATACTGTATGTGCCAATCCAGCTGGCACAAACGCAACTACAGTATCCCCGTTTTCTATAAAGCTGTCCAGCTCGTCGTTAAGAATAGATGCCGCAACAAACAACGCATCTCGCTCGCCGGCTGTACAGTAGTTTGTCTTCCACTGTATCTTGCTCCACGCCTTTCTCTGTATAATCCCTGTTACATCCTTTATCCGAATAACTTCACCTAAGCACGCCCAGGCATAGGTACTGTTCCACGGTAACAGCCCGCCAATTTGGGCGGCTGTAATGTCGAAAAACGCGTGGAACATAAATATGGGGGTTGTAACGACTTGGAGAGAGTACTGTGGGAAAAAGCACTTCCATTGGTCATTTTCTGGTAAGCCTGGGGGAAATGAAGAAGGGTTAAAGGGTGGAAAAGGAAATTGGGCATTGCATAGAGAGGCCTGAAAACTGGGGACAGCAGCAATCCAGAAAGAAATGAGGGAAGGGGGTGGGTGGTGGAAGGGAAGGGGAGGTTATGAGGGATGACTTGGGGTCCTTTTGGCAACCCATGTGGGTGTGTTTCTAAGTGGTAATGAGCATGCATGGAATTCATTCGTATCAGACCGTTGATTCCCTCACCATCTCCAGGCATCTCTAGCAGCTACGACTTTTGAGTCGACTCAAAACATCAGACCGTTGATTCCCTCACCATCTCCAAGCATCTCTAGCAGCTACGCATCGCATCTCACCATCTTGGCAAGCCAGCCAAGCTGGGTTTGTTTGTGCAGAGCAGCAATGCTCTTCGCACCGTTGCGCCACGTGGTAACAATGTAACCGCTATCCGCGCATCTCTAACAGCAATGCATCACACATCTCACCGTCTTGACAAGCAGGCCAGCTCGGCTTGTGCATAGCAACAATGCTCTTCACACCGTTGCGCCACGTGTACCCACCCACTCTATCCTTGGAGTCTGAAAGGTAGAGGAGAGGTTGGGAGCAGGACGGGAGGGAGGAGTCAAGGGGGGAAGGGGTAAAGAGGAAATGTCTTCTCGGCTTGTGCAGAGCAGCAATGCTCTTCATTCCATTGCGCCACGTGTACCCACCCACGCGATCCTTAGAGTCTGATCGAGGGTAGTGGGGGGAGAGGAGAGCAGGTGGGGAGGGAAGGAGGAAGAGAATAATTCACAGCGTTGCGCCACATGTACCCACCCACTCGGTCCTTGGAGTCTGATCAAGGGTAGTGGGGGAGGGAGGGGAGGGGAGGGGGAAAGGGGGGAAACAAGGAGGAGGAGTCAGTGAGGCAAGGGGAAAGGCGGAAATGTTGTGTCGGCTTGTGCAGCGCAGCAATGCTCGTCACAGCGCAGCAATGCTTGTCACAGCGCAGCAATGCTCGTCACAGCGCAGCAATGCTCGTCACAGCGCTGTGCCACGAGTACCCGCCCACTCGGTCCTTGGAGTCTGAAAGGGTAGTGGGGGAGGGAGGGAGGGGACGGGGAGAGAAGTGATGTGGGAAAAGAGCAAGAGTTGTCTCGGCTTGTGCAGGGCAGCAATGCTCTTCACAGCGCTGCGCCACGTGTACCCGCCAACTCTATCCTTAGAATCTGGAAAGGTTGGGTGAGGGAGAAGATAGGGGGGACGGAAGGAGGGGAGGCATTCTCAGCTTGTGCAGAGCACTAGTTTACAGCGGTGCGCCATGTGCACACCCCCGCTCGGTCCTTGGAGTCTGCAAGGGTAAGTTGAAAGAATGCACTTTGTAGAAGTAAATTCGCACGCGAAGTAACAAAAAAAAAAAAAAAAAAAAAAAAAAAAAAAAAAAAAACCAGCAGCCTCACCAGTGAAAACTTACCAATAAAGAAGCCCGAGTCGGAGATGCATTTGGTTGGCGCCCAGGGGAAGGCGGCAGCGATGCGATCGCAGAGAGCCACGACTGCTTGGCCGCCCGCTGAGCTGCCCGACAGGAGAATCTGCGATGCCGATTTGATTCCCCGCTTAGATTGCAAATCTGATTGCGTTTTGGGCGAAGGGTCAAGGGGAAAAGGTGGAAAGAGGAGAAAAAAGGGAGAAACAAAAAAGGGGGATGTGGGAGGGAGGGAGGAGGAAGGAGATAACGAAGTGAGGAGATCTTATTCTCCTTTTTCCCACTCTCATCCTGCCCCACAAACTGTCACTCTCACAGTTCATAACCCCTCTCACAGTTCATAACCACTCTCTCTAATAACCACCGCATCATGCGATGAGACAAACAAGGTTCCTTCCCCTCTCACTCACCCTCTATCACCGCTTGAACGATGTTCCATCCATCCAAGTAAATCGCCGTGCCATTGTTGCTCCCAACCTCCACCCTCCCTGCCATGCCGACATAGCCACTGCCACTGTTCACCCACATACTTGCTCAAGCTCACTCATGTGACATAGCAAAACGCACCTTCAATCACCGCTTGAACGATGCTCCACCCATCCAGGTAAATCGCCGTGCCGTTGGTTCCAACCTCAAGCCTCCCTGCCGTGCCCGAGTAGCCGCCACCGTCGCAGTAGATGAGACGAACGAGGTTCCAGTTGTAGAAAGGCGGGTTGATGGTGCTGTTGCTGCTGAGAATGCCGTTGAAAGGGGGACGGAGAGCCTGCCCGGGGCATGGGGGAAGGCGCATGGGGGAGGGCGCATGGGGGAGGGCGCATGGGGGAGGGGGAATGGGGGAGGGCGAATGGGGGAGGGGAGGGGGGGAGGGGGAATGGGGGAGGGGGAATCGGGGAGGGGAGGGGGGGGAGGGGGAATGGGGGAGGGGGAATGGGGGAGGGGAGGGGGGGGGGAGGGGGAATGGGGGAGGGGGAATGGGGGAGGGGGAATGGGGGAGGGGGGAGGGAAGGGGGGAGGGGAAGGGGGGGAGAAGAATAAAAGGCTAAAACGAGGCATCACAGAGTTCTGCACCTCTGCTTAAGCGTTTCCCCAGTATACTGCTGCCCTTCTAGCCATGAGCCAAGGCTAAAACGAGGCATCACAGAGTTCTGCATCAGATTTCACAAAAGCCCCAAAAATAGCTGGGGGAACACACACACACACACACACGCACACACACACACACACACACACACACACACACACACACGCACACACACACACACACACACACACACACACACACACAGACAGACGCATACCAGGGAGAAGGGGGAGGGGAGGTTGAGGGGGGGAGGAGGGGGGAGGGGGGTTGTGGGGGGGGGGAGGTGGAGTTAAGGGGGAGAGAGCAGCATACCGCGTTGGGTGCAGGGTCGGTAGGATACAGCGTGCTGGTCCCGAAAAGCGTCTTGCTCCTCGCCACGCACTGGGCGGCAGTGCCACACCACGCGCCGCCCGGCAGGTAGATGTGCCACATGTTCTTGCCGCCCCCCGTGCCCGCCCGGAAATAGTACCCTGGGGGGCTGGGCGGGTTTATAGGGGGTGTGGATGGGGGGGGACGGAGAAAAGGGGGAGTGGGGAAAAGGGGGTTAGAACACAGCAACCTCCTTTCTCGGACAGATCACCCCCTTCTCTCCCCACCACCTCTCTCCCCACCCTCCTCTCTCCCCACCACCTCTCTCCCCACCACCTCTCTCCCCACCACCTCTCTCCCCACCATCTCTCTCCCCACCCTCCTCTCTCCCCACCCTCCTCTCTCCCCACCCTCCTGTCTTGCAGAACGAGCAACGCCTGCAGCAGCGTTCCGCTCCTCCCAGGCCGCCCTCTCCGAACCCGCTCCACACTCCCCTCCCTCCACACCCTCCTCCCTTCCCACCCTCCTCCCTCCCCACCCCCGACAATGATTACTCGCTTGCACAGCGACCCGCGTCTGATCCTTCTACTCTCCTCCAGCTGCGGGTGGGACTCTCCCCCGCCCCCACTCCCCCGCTCCTCGGGAAGCCCCCACCCTACCCCGCTCCCCACCGCTCTCTCGCCACTCCCCCATTAATCCTACTCGCTTGCACAACGGACCGCGCCTGCTCCAGCGACTTTTGAGGCGCCTCAAAGAACGAATCGCGCCTGATCCAGCGACTTTTGAGGCGCCTCAAAAGACGAATCGCGCCTGCTCCAGCGACAAATCGCGCCTGCTCCAGCGGTCCGCCTACAACTCTTGCTTTACCCGCCGGCGCGTGTCCTGCCCATTTTTCCCAGCAGTTTTCGCGCCGTACGAACAATTCGCCAGCAATACGTTTCGCTGCTCTTTGATTCCTCCGCCTCCTTTTTATCTTCATCCCCCCCACCTCCGCTCCCCCCTTTCTCTCCTCCTCCCTCCCCCTTCTTTTCCCCCCACCTTACCTCCCGTCGAGGCATTTCGCGTCGAAGGAGTTATTCGCCAGCAGAACGAGCCGCGGCGTGGCCGGCGGCCCCGACGGTGGCGGAGGCGGATTTCCCGCGAGTAGCGACAACAGGTACTGCAGGAACGCCCAGACGCCGCTAAAATCGATTTTCCATGCGGCTTTATTTCTAGAAGAACTCATTCTTCCGTTGGACGGTTTGGATGGCGACCTGGAGTGGAGCAGGTTGAGATTCCGGTTGTTCCCGGTAAAGGCGTCTCTGTTAGTAAGAGCAGAACCGTTACTCGTTGTAGTGCGTGCTCCAAAACTGTTGATTGTATTCATGTTCTTGGGTCAACAAGGCGCATGCTGCCTATGATCGCTGTAGGCGCGACGCGAAGTGGATACCGTCTGAGTATCATCAGTACGGGTTTCAGAATCTACGTCGCTAATACGAAAGAAGCCTACTCTGTTCTTGCATAGCTTCTAGAAGCATTGTCGCAAGACTACCATGATTGCAGCAAAGACTAGCGTTCCCGAGTCGTCTCCCGACAATTTGGCGCGTCGCGCTTGTTCCGGTCTGGACTGGATAGGACGTCTTCGGGGCTCCTCGGAACTACCTAACTGAAGGACGGAGGAACAGGTCGAAAGGTACTGGGGGGGGGGAATATGGAACACCGTCAATTGTCTCAGAGTGACGACCCTCGGAACGCTTCACTTGAGGTCGATCCGGGAAAAAGAATACGCCCCTAGAAGCCCAGCGTCCCGGACCTTCCTAGCTTTGGGATTTTGGAGAACCCACCGACACTCCGCCCTTTCGTGTCTCTGGCCACCACCATCGGGTTACATTGTTTTTGGCAAAACGAGGTTCGGATGCGCGAACTCTGGACGCGAGGCGAGGTAGCCTCGAATTCGTGGAAAACTGGCTGGACCTGTCTTTCCGAACCAAGAGTTCAGGCTGTACGCGATTCAGTTAAGTGACAGGACCTAAGTGTCCCCACGTAAAGGGCTTACATATATCATATGTTCTATTACACCTACGGTATCCATTACTTGGCTACATATGGACAAATCTATCAGATGTTCTGCCTGCCAACCACTCTTCTATTTGGGACGCAACTAACATGCGATGAATCCAAGGATTCATCCAAGCGTTAGAAAATAACACAGCATGTGCCAATCCAGCTGGCACAAACGCAACTACAGTATTCCCTCCTAAAGCGATTTCCAGCTCATCAGTAAAAACAGACGCCGCAACAAACAACGCATCTCGCTCCCCAGCTGTACAGTAGTTTGTCTTCCACTGTATCTTGCTCCACTCCTTTCTCTGTATAATCCATGTTACATCCTTTATCACTGTAACTTCACCTAAGCAGGCCAATGCATATGTTCTGTTCCACGGTAGCCGCCCGCCAATCTGGGAGGCCATAACGTCGAAAAAAGTGTGGAAAAAAAAATACGGGGGTTGTAACATCTTGTAGAGTGTACTGTGGGAAGAAGCACTTCCATTGGTCGGCCTCTGGTAGAGCTGGGGGGGGAAAGAGGAATAAGGGTTGGGAAGAGAGGGAGGAGAGGATTGGGTGTTGCATAAAGAGGCGTGGGAAAACAAGGGACAGCAGGAATCCAGAGAAACGGTGTGACGGAGAGAATGGGGTGGTTGGCTTTTGAATCTTCACAGCATTGCCACAAATTTGCCAAGTGATTCCTCCATAATTCACAATTCTTCAATTCTTCAACCCATTTGACTCCTTCCCCCCCTTGATTTCTTTCCCCACTCCCACCGTCTTTACCCCCTTCTCCCCCTTTCGCAACTCACCGTCTTGGCAAACCGGCCAGCTCGGCTTGTGCAGAGCAACAATGCTCTTCTCAGCGTTGCGCCATGTGGTAACCATGTAACTGCTATGCACGCGTCTCACCGTCTTGGCGATCAGGCCAGCTGGGCTTGTGCAGAGCAGCAATGCTCCTCTTTGCCAGCTTCCCCCCTACAACCCCTCCCCCCCCCCTCTCTCTCTCACCGTCTTGGCAAGGAGGCCAGCTCGGCTTGTGCATAGCAGCAATGTTCTTCACACCGTTGCGCCACGAGTACCCATCCATTCTATCCTTGGAGTCTAATCAGGGGTAGAGGGGAAGGGACAGGAGGGGGAAAGGGGGAGACAAGGAGGAGTCAGTGAGGGAAGGGGAAAGGCAGAAATGTTGTCTCGGCTTGTGCAGAGCAGCAATACTCTTCACACCGCTGCACCAGCTATGTTGGAGTGACTTTTGAGAATTCTCAAAAGTCTCTTCACACCGCTGCACCACGTGTAGCCACCCACTCAGTCCTTGGAGTCTAAAAGGGTAGTGGGGGAGGGGAGAAGCAGGTGGGGAGGGAGAAGCAGGTGGGGAGGGGAGAAGCAGGTGGGGAGGGAAGGAGCAGGTGGGGAGGGAAGGAGGAAGAGAATCATTCACACCGTTGCGCCACAAGTACCCTCCCACTCTATCCTTGAAGTCTAAAAAGGTAGCAGGGGGAGGGAAGGGAGCAAGGGTTTTCTTGGCTCGTGCAGAGCAGCAATGCTCTTCACAACGTTGCGCCATCTTCACCCACCCACTCGGTCCTTAGAGTCTGCAAGGGTAGTGGAGGGTTTGGGAGCAGGAGGGGAGGGAGGAGTCAGGGGGGGAAGGGGAAAAGAGGAAAAGTCTTCTCGGCTTGCGCTATGCGTAGCCACCCACTCGGTCCTTGGAGTCTGAGAAGGATGGGGGAGGGCGAAAGAAGGAAAGGTGTTCTTGACTTGTGCAGACTCTGCAGAGCAATATTGCTCTTCACACCGTTGCACCACAAGCACGCGCCATGAGCACGCGCCACAAGTACCAGCCCACCACACGGGGAAAAGAGGAAAGGTGTTCTCGGCTTGTGCTGAGTAACAGTGCTCTTCACACTGTTGTGCCCCCAGATGTTTTGAGACGTCTCAAAAAATCTCTTCTATCATGTGCCCCGTGATGTTTTGAGACGTCTCAAAAAATCTCTTCTATCATGTGCCCCGTGATGTTTTGAGACGTCTCAAAAAATCTCTTCTATCATGTGCCCCGTGATGTTTTGAGACGTCTCAAAAAATCTCTTCTATTATGTGCCCCCTGATGTTTTGAGACGTCTCAAAAAATCTCTTCTATCATGTGCCCCGTGATGTTTTGAGACGTCTCAAAAAAACTCTTCTATCATGTGCCCCCTGATGTTTTGAGACGTCTCAAAAAAAATCTTCTATCATGTGCCCCCTGATGTTTTGAGACGTCTCAAAAAAAATCTTCTATCATGTGCCCCCTGATGTCCAAGTGTGACTACTTTTGAGTCGACTCACAAGTCGATTTGACTTTTGAGAAT